GTCCTTCAACTTTTTTTTTCTCGATTACCCACAATGCACTCAGAATAATGTGTATAGCTCCTCAGATAAAAAAAAAAAAAAATCGTGTTATAAATCATACTTTCCTTAAGAAATACTCTTACGATGAGTAGTAATAATTTTGAAAATAGATAATCACGCCAGCTCAATTCAGTCTTGTTGAAATTAAATCGTACCACGTCCAAGGAAATGATTGCGAGTCGGTCTCGAACGCAGTTGCCTCCGCATCCAACTCAGCTGATTAATGACGGCTTAATCAATTCAGTGGATATTCTGCAGCTCTTAGGTGTAACCCTTGATTCAAAACACATTTGAATTGCAAATTAGGATCATAGCAAAGGCAGTTTCATCAAAATTAGGCATCATTCGTTAGTACAAGATTTAAAAAGATGTCAAATTACTCATAGATGCTTCTTTTCTTTCATTCTACCTCATTTTGAGTATTGTTCTCCTGCGTGATTATCTGCCGCAGTGTCCCACTTAAGACTGCTTGATCGTTCTATTAATTCCATTAATTTCTCCTCTGACTTGGATTCGGCCACTGGGCATCGTAGGGATGTTGGAGCTCTTCCATTCTTCCGCATGGTTGTGGCCGATAATTCATATCCACTCTTTGAGTTTTTACCTGATTTTCATGAACCTGTAAGAGTTACTGGTTCTGTAACCCTAAATTCAAAAATATTTGAAGCAAGTCGATCATCTGTATCTCATTTTTTTTTCTTTTTTTTAACTGCAATTTGTAGGTTTTGGAACAGATTGCCTTCAGAGAATGTAATATGGTTTGACTACGTAAACATCCGATGATTTTTTACCTTCTCTCTCCTTCTTAACTCTGTTTTGACCAACATTGATCCCTTTTTATTGGATTAATTCTCATTTTTTCAGTGTGGCTCTTTACATTTCCTAATAATGATGATAATAATAACTCGTGAAGAATAGCGGCCAGCTCAAACTGAAGACGAAATTCCAGGAGCTTTACCCACACGCCTCCTCCTACGTCGCCTCCTGCAGAAGCCGACCTCGAAGCCCAGAGCGAGGGATGCCGCGAGGAGCCCCACCGCGAGCACGAAGAAGGCGGCCTGCAGGTGAATCAGGGTGACAGCGCCCGGACCTCCTTGTGGGCCTTCGTCAGGTACTCTCCCGGCTGCGCTGCCGACCACGTCACGCCTCCATTTCCCTATGAGGCCGGATTCCACCAACTGGGCGAGTCTGGGGATGGGCGGCGCTACTCTGTCAGCTATTCACACACACACACACACACACACACACACACACACACACACACACACACACACACACACACACACACACACACACACACACACACACCTCTCTCTCTCTCTCTCTCTGTCCAACTATATGTAAGCATATGTATGGGTCTATATCAATCTGTATCTGTTTATTTACCCATCTATCTATCTACCTATATTCATGTAACTATTTATCTATATTTATGTATCTATCTACCTAATTCTATATCTATTTATCTATGTATCTATCTATTTATCAATCAGTCTATCTCTCTATCTATATATATGCACACACACACACATACGAACACACACACACACACCTCTCTCTCTCTCTCTCTGTCCAACTATATGTAAGTATATGTATGGATCTATATCAATCTGTATCTGCTTATTTACCCATCTATCTACCTATAATTATGTAACTAATTATCTATATTTATGTATCTATCTACCTAATTCTATATCTATTTATCTATGTATCTATCTATTTATCAATCAGTCTATCTCTCTATCTATATATGTGCATACACACACACACATACGAACACACACACACACGAATCTCAGCATGTCGTACATACGATATATCTATAAGAACACACACATCATGTACGATAACACCGCAACAGGAATACCAACACAACCACGCAGATCCCAAACGCCACAAAACTGCCGATACCAACTACGTCAACCACCAGACGGCGTTTATTTACGGGGAAGGCTTGATCAGTAGCAACTCGAGGAGGTGTTATGGCGTCTGCTTTGATGGTTGCTCAGTGAAAATGTAGCCATTAAAATCACTATTTTCCATCCTTTTTGAAAGTTGAAAAGACCAAAATGATCGACCATATTCCCAAAGCATTCGTAACTTATGTGACGTCAACAAAATAAACCGATTGTGCGTTTTTTTTCGCAAAAATAGAATCAGGCGCCATGGCACCTCCTCGAGTTGCTACTGATCTAGCCTTCCCCTTTTGTTTACTTCTTATCAAAAACGGCCAAGTACGGAGCCCCGGACTGGAGGGCGACGCCGTAGCTCTGCGGGTAGTACGTCTGGCGAGCCAAGTGGTAGTTCTCCTTGCCTCGCGCGGTGATGCGGATCTCGGAGGCCAACCACGCGTTGACGAAGCCGAATTTCCCCGTCAGGACCTGTGGAGGGAGGGGGGGGGAAGAGGATACTGCAGGATTTTTTTTTTTTGGGGGGGAGGGGGTCTCGTGTGGTGTGTCTA